CTTACTGATGAAGATCAAAGATTACAGCCTTCTGTATGGATTACACCTTACCATAAAGAAAACAAATATCCTCACAACTGGACCAATAAGCAACATCATGATAAACGGTGAAAATATTGAAGTTGTCATGGATTTTGTTTTACTTGTCTCCACATTTAACACCTGTGGAAGCAGCAGTCAAGAAATCAGATAACCTCTATTGTATTAGACAAATCTGCTGCAGAAGACCTCTTTAAGGTGTTAAACAGCAAAGATGTCACTTTGAGGACTAAGGAGCACTTGACCCAAGCTGTGGTATTTTCAGTTGCCTCATATGCATGCGAAAGCTGGACAGTGAATAAAGAAGACCGAAGAAGAATTGATGACTTTGAATTATGGTGTTGTCAAAGAATATTGAATATACCATCAACTGCCAGAAGAATAAACAGATCTTTCTTGAAAGAAGTACAGCCAGAATGCTTCACAGAAGCAGAGATGGCGAGACTTCATCTTACGTACTTTGAACATGTTATCAGGAGGGACCAGACCCTAGAGAAGGACATCATGCTTGGTAAAGTAGAGGGTCAGGGAAAAAGAGGAAGACCCTCAAGGAGATGAATTGACACAGTAGCTGCAACAGTGGGCTCAAGCATATCAACGATTGTGGGGATGATGCAGGACCAGCCAATATTTCGTTCTGTTGTACGTGGGGTTGCTTTGATTCGGAACCGAGTCGATGGCACCTAACAACAACAACATAGGAAATTAATGGTTTCCAAAGTGAGAAGCATATACCCCAGAGTAGTGTGTGTTGGGGAGTGGAAAACAAATTAGAATTTTTATTTGTTTGTATTTTCTAGTTCTGAAATCTCAATTATTTTTCTATCTTTGAAACAAAACAGAAGAATCATATTAATATTTCTCTTGATCTGAATGGCAGATGGTCACATTTTATTTCTGGTACTTTAGGTATCCCAGAGAAGTCCAAGTCTTCTCAGCATGGAAAAGTTGACAGAGTTGCTTTTGTTCATTTGCTTTTCCTAGCTATGGCATATTGCAGTTTAAGTGTGCGTGGTTAAGAGGATTTACAGATTGTATTCAACAGATCTTCACTAATGCACAAGTGGCTTTAAAAATATTCCTACAATGAAACTACTGATTGGAAATAACACAAATATATTTATGAGTGATCAAGAAAATGGCAGAGCTGTTACTTTTCTGTTCTTAGTAGGAGCTCTTTATCAGCCATGGTACAAAGTAGAAACAACGATGCCATAAGCAGATATAACAGTGACAGCAACTCCAGGCCATCGACACTAATTTGAATATGCATTTACATCATTTACCTTGCTTTTAGTGTATAATGTGCCTTGAGGTGCTGACTGATATAACTGTGAAGGCATCATGATTCATACTCCACGATAGTTTGAATTATGTGGTACTCAGTTCAGTACTTAAACATACATCAAATTTAATAAAATTTTATTTAAAACCTCTTTTGAGATTTTTCTTAGTGCCCTCTACCCTTGTTCAAACGCTTGATCTTTCTGCTCCAGTGAAAATGACTGAAAACCAGAACAGTGAGAACATACTAAAATGCATTTTTTTGTCAGCAAACACTATTGAAAGAGGTTTAGAAAGCAAAGCTGAAGATTTAAGAAGCAAGTATTTGAATAAATCATGCAGTGTGTGAAGCTAGTTATATATAGACGAATAAAAGTACAGGTGGCTTCTAGTATGTCGCAGCTTAAGATATTTGTTGGATTCATTTTCAGTCATAAACCACTTCAAGAGCTACTTGTTTTGCACCACTCAAGGAAAGATATACCAGAGAGAAGACACCTCCCAGACTGTAAATCACTTCTTTTTTATTTTTAAATGGCGAACGTGTGTGGTACCATTGATGTAGTGGCTGCTTTAACAAGAATTACAGAAAAGATGCCAGGGCACGGTGAGAGCAGTGTCACCACACATGCAGTTTATGCTCGCTGCCAGTGTTGCAGCATTGAGGCTGAAGCTAGAAGTGTCCAAAACATTGTGGAATGTGTTTAACTTGTTTATAAAATCATGTTATTTACAGTGTACTCTGTAATGAGATGGGGAGTGATCCAGAATATTTTTCATTCTAACATAGAAGTTGTTTCATGATATGAGAGATCTCAGATCTCTTTCTCTCTTCCTCCCTTCTTCCCTCACTCCCAAATATGCCAGATCTTTTCAGTGATAACAAATGGTTTCAATAGTATACTTCCTAGCATTATATTAAAAATAAATTAATTAAACCCTCTTGTCTCTTCAGGGTAAAGATGATGTTTTAACAATGAATGAAAAAGTAACTGCCTTCCTAAATAAAACTCATGCAAGGGAAAGAGCGTTTACAAAATAATGTTGCCGCATTATGTATTTTGTTGTTGTTGATAAAGTCTATAGCAGACTGTCATATATGCAGACTTTAAAGACTTGGAATGAATTTTCTAAACTTAGTGGGACTTGAACCTATTTGCTAAACGTATTAAAATGCAAGCTTAATAACTTGAAAAACTGATTTACATCAGGGAACATGGAAATCTACTAGCTGAATTTCAGAAGAAAGCTTTGCATAATTAAGGGATACAATTGAAATTTGGTATCATGATTTAGTAAGTATAGCATTTCTTCCATTTGTATTACTATGTCTTTGTGACATCCGATGAAACTTAGTATCAAAATAAGCCAATCCTAGTGTCAGAACTTTGAATCACTCATATATTTGTGTATGTGTATAAGAAAGATTTTGTTGGCCATTGATAAATATAATTTTAAAATTACTCTTAAAATATTTTATTTCTATCTTAGCTCTTTAAAATTTCAAGTTTTTAATCTTACCCATTGCTGTCGAGTCAGTTCCAACTCATAGTGACCCTATAGGATTTCCAAGGCTGTAAATCTCTACGGAAGCAGACTGCCACCTCTTTCTCACGCGAAGCCACAGGTGGTTTCGAACCGCTGACCTTTCAGTTAGCAGCCGAGCACTTTAACCACTGTGCCGCCAGGGCTCCTTTTTTTAATCTTACACAATGTGTGTATTAGTTAACTAGAAGTGAATACAGTTTAGATACACAAATATAAAAGTTTTTAGTGTTGGAGTGCATAATCAAAAAAACTGGGAGACCGACTTGTTCAGATTGTAGTCATATCCTGTCTCAACCACTACGGTGGTCTCCTGGGTTATTTCCAATCTTGTTTCCTCAAAGCTTTTTTCCGCTAATAGGGTGATTTTTACAATATGCAGCTGTGATTGTATAACTCCTCTGCTTAATAAACTGCACACACAAATCTTTAATATGATCGGTCTATAAGGCCATGTATGATCAAGCTTCTATGAATGTCATGTTTTCAGTCTTACTTCTCACTGCTCTTCCCCCTGTACTTTTTCCTCTCCATGGGCTGCTTGTAAGTCCCTCATACTAGCTGTGCTTCCTCCCCCTCTGGCTTTTACACATGTTGTTCCCTGTACCCTGAGCATTCACTCTGTCTTCCTCTCCTTCTTTACTTCCTACATGTCTTTCAGATCTCAGCCTGAATGGTACTTCCTCAGGGAAGCCTTCACTCATCTTTCTGGCTAGATCACACCACACACACACACACACACACACACACACACACCAGTTGTAAGCTCTTATATAATACTATATATTTGCCCTTTATTGTACTTATCACAATTGCCATCTTAAATTTATTTGCATGGATTGTTGCAAAGACAATCATTATTGTCTGTTTTTACTTATCATACTATTTTTCCAGTACTTAGAGACATTAGTGAGTGTCAAGAGTTTTGGTTTCATACTTAGGAAAAACCAAGAGCAGTTGGAGGCTCTATGAAAAGTAGGAGAGTGATGATGACACTAAAATTTGGGCTTTAGAAAGGTAAACTGGAGGCTGTGGTTGAGTAAAGGAAAGGAGACTAGAACCGTGAAGGTCCACTAGATGGCCATTGTAGATGAAAAAAGTGAGAACCAGAATCTTTGCAGTTCAGATGGAGAGGAGATGGTATTGTGTTCAGTGGATGTTTTGGAGGTAGAATATAGCAGTATTTGGTGACCAGCCTGCTTTTCAGAGGTGAGGGAAGGGAGCCAGAGATTACTTGAAAGCTTGGGCAGCTACTAACTTTTAGGCCATTTGTCAGGTAAATGAGTATAAAATGATAAGCAGTTGAAGGTGGACAGGGAATCCTTTCACTTTTAACACAGTTCGCAGGAGCCTCTTGGCCACTGCTCTATTTATAATACTTTTTAACAGCAAAATCATATTTTGGCTTTTATAGTACTTAGATTGCTTTTCACAGTTGATTGTGTCATTAAAGGAAGATTGTGATTATTTTTAAGTACACTTTTAGGGATGTATGTATAATTTTGGTCCTACATCTTGTACCTCACACTTAGAAAAATGCACAATTTGCACATGTGAAACAGCTGTTCTGATCTTGAAAGTTGAATGTCTCATCTGTTCTGACAGCAACAGTTTAGCATCCTTTCTACTGGTATTTTCTGAGTGCCAGGCACTGGGGTAGTATAGGAATTACAAAGAAGTCTATGATACAGTGTCTTCCGCAAGCTGCTATTTGTTTATAAGGTATTGGAGGTATGGCGAGGGGGGAGTAAAATGACATATTACTTCTGTAATATTACCTTTTTTTAAATTAAGCTTTTTCTTAAGACCAAGATCTTAAATTGAAATAATTTGCTTCCCTAAGGCTCTAAATTAGGATATGACTACCATGGATGCTGCTGAAAAGAAATGAATGACAAAGAAAGACTATTAGGTAGCTTAAAGCTGTTTGTATTAAACTCTCGGAAAGTCCGTTATTGACCATAAAATTGCCAAGGCAGATGGGATTAAATTCTTCGTGTTTTCTCTTTTATTCACTCTTAGGAACCTAGTAGGAACGTTCATTGAATTAGTTGGAATTGAATAGTTTAATTTGAAACATTTTTCACTAACGAACTTTTCTCTTAATATAACTTTATATCCCTTTTCCCTAGGAGTCTCAACAGTCCAGTTTTGGCTCTGGAGAGCAAAGTGAGTATTTTAGTTTCTTTTGGTTTTGAAATTAATCTGTTGTTGAGCATTCCAATTCTCATGGTCACATCAGATATTGCTTTAATAATTTTTTTGCATGTCTTATTCCCATTTTTATGATCTGATGATTAGAATTGGGTTGAGCTGAATCTTGGTATGTTTTAAAAAATCAAGAATTGTAGGTTATTGGAGATTAAAATAAAGCATTTTTATTAAGTGTTTGAACTAATAGTTGAAAGTTAAATTTGATGAGCACCTCATAAACCCAAGACCATTTGTTTTTCCATGTCCTTCACGAAGATAATTTGGTCCTATAAGGCCAAACCTCCAGGAAAGATGGGGTCATTGTAGTTGACATGGCTCTTACCCTCCTATATCTATAAGCTCCCTATTTGTTTTTCCTGGGCCTTCTCATTTGGAAAGAAAGGCTGCTGTCTGCTACATACCCCACCCCCACTCTCACCCCCAACTCTCTTGGCCTCTTAGCAAAACTTGAGGGGAAGATCACATTAGGAAGTTTAGATGTGGTCCTGAAAGATGGTGGCTGTGCTGATTGATAGTGGTAAGGTTAGGAACCACTGCAAATGTCTGCGTTTCACCATGTAGCTCTGTGATGAAACAGGTGTTCTCTTTGCCAAGAACGATAACATCTTAAGTGATGGAAGTATATTTAAACTGGTGGTAACCTATTTTGGGAGATAGAAATGTGGAACTTGTGATCCTTATCTTAGTGATCTTTAAGCAAAGAGGTGAAACTAAAAGAATATCTCTTTAATGTTGTTAACAAACTTCCCATAACTATATGTCCATTTCTAAGTTCTGCTTTAAATGTGTATGTGTTAGTCATCTAGTGCTGCTATAACAGAAATACAACAAGTGGATGGCTTTAACAAAGAGAAGTCCAGTAGGCTACAAGTCCAAATTCAGGACATGAGCTCCAAGAGAAGGCTTTCTCTCTCTGTCGGCTCTGGAGGAACGTCCTTGTGATGCATCAGTCAGTCTTCCCTTGGTATGGGAGCATCTCAGGGCAGGAACCTCAGGTCCAAAGGACATGCTCTGCTCCTGGCACTCCTTTCTTGGTGGTGTGAGGTTCCCATGTGTCTCTACTTGCTTCTCTCTTTTATATCTCAGAAGAGATTGGCTTAAGACACTATCTAATCTTACAGACCTCATCAGTAAAACTGCCACCAATCCATCTTATTATATCATAGTGATAGAGTTTACAACACAAAAGGAAGTCACAAGAGATTACAGAATGATACACAATCATACAATACTGGGAATCATGATGCAGCGAAGTTGACAAATATTTTTGGGGAACACAATTCAATCTATGACAATGTAGTTACAGAAAAAAGGAACATGACACTTGTTGGTTTGCAGAAAATAGCTAACTATAGGCCAGAAAGTTTATAGTTTATCTCCTCTATTAAGAAAATCTCATCCTTCTACCCCTCCACCATTGTCTCTGAAAGCTAACCATTGGCAAATGGGATCATAAGCTGTATACTCTTTATTAGCTTGTATTTTCCGCTTATTTTATTTTAGAGATACTTCTATATTAAAATAAAACTCTCTTTTTAGCCTTAAAATTGCATTATATTGTATAAAAACCAAACCCATTGCTGTCAAGTCAATTTCAACTTAAGGTGACCTTACGTGTTACAGAGTAGAAATGAACTCCATAGGGTTTTCTTGGCAGTAATCTTTGTGGAAGCAGATCGTCAGCAATTTATTTAACTAGTCCCCTATTGGTAGACATTTAATTTGTTTCCAGTTTTGCTGTTTAAACCATGCTGAAATAAACGTCCTTGTATGTGTGTGTGTGCATGTACATGTGTATTCCTTCTAATACACCTGTAAGAGAAATTCCTTCCGTTGGAATAGCTAGGTCAGTGGATATGTGAATTTTCAATATTGATAAGATAAATATTACCGGATTGCCCTCAAAAAAGATTGTATGAGTTTATAGTCCTACCAACAGCAAGTGTACATGCCTGTTGCCCCCATATGCTTACCAGCATCTCATGTTATCATACTTTTAAGTGTTAACCAACTTGATGATGATCGTATCATTGTTTTAATTAATATTTCTTTGAGGGCAGACATTTTGCAATCTAAATACTCTTACTTCATTTGCTTATTTCTGCATTCTTTTTGTTCTAGAAAGATACAATCCTTCTTCTAAAACGTCAAGTGGGCACCAGTCTAAATCGTAAGTTTATTGCTTAATAAGTTTAATATCGGTGAGTTTTGCTTTAAGTCTATCTGTAGCATCTGGATATTTCGAGTAACGCTCAGAAGTGTGTACCTAATCCTTTAAGGCAGGGCTAGGCAAACTTTTATGTAAAGGACCAGATAGTGAATATTTTAGGCTTTGTGAGCTGGATGTTTATGTCCTAACTACTCAGCTCTGTCATTGTAGCATAAAAGTAGCCAGAGACACCTGGTGTGGCTCTGTTCCAATAAAACTTCCTTTACAAACAGATGGTGGACCAGATTTGGCTCATGGGCCATAGTTTGCCTTCTTTAAGATCACCATTCTTTCTCATCTTTCAGAGTTGTCTGTTCATAGTTTGTATTTAATGAAGAAGACATCCAGTAAGACAGAATTCTTCTTCATTAGCTTCCATTTAACCTCTAAACGTAGACTATTAAGTAACATAGTTTGTATGGTCTTTACATTTTCCTATTTTTATTTTGTAGATAAAACAAGGTGGGGGGGCGGAAATATATATCTATATATCATAATGTAATATGGTATTAGATAATAATAAATTCCAGCTTAAAAAATGAATTCCTGAGACCAGAAGTTTACTATGGCAACAGTGCCAGCTCTATATCATAGCCACAAACTATACTGATAACCTCGGCCTAGTAGCCACTTTAGCTGAACATAGGGAAAACTGAGGAAGAGTGAAAATATATAAATATAAGAAGTCCCCTCACCTCACTTTTGAAGAATTAAAATTATATGTTTGTTCGTCTCTTATATTTACTTACATGTTGTCTTAGACTTGGTTCTTTAGAGAAGCAAAACCAGTGAAGCATATATATGCATATAAACCGAGAGAGCAAGACAGAGATTTATCTCAAGGAAATAGCTCACGCAGTTTGTACAGGCTGGCAAATCCCAAGTCCATGGGTCAGGCGTCAGGCTGGAGGCTTCTCCTGACTGTGTAGCTACAGGGGCTGATGAACCCAAGATCGGCAGGTCAGATGGCAGGCCACTGGTTCAAGTCCCAAGAACCAGAGGTCAGGTGATAACAAGCCAGGCACAGGTTCCAAAGCAAGCAAAAGCCAGTGAGCTTTGCCAGACCATCCATATATATTGGATGCAGGCCACACCCCTGAGGAAACTATCCTTACAACTGATGGGCCGATCACATCAGATCACATCATGGAGGTGATTACAGTATATCACAAAATGGAGGATAACTACATCATTACATGATGCAGAATTTCATCATTACATAACTGCCAAACCATCAAGAATCATGGCCCAGGTAAGTTGTCACACAACCTTAACCATTACAGTCTACCCCTTGTCAACTTGGCACCTGTGCCCATCTCCTTAAACCATACACAATCTCTAAATACACCTAACATGATACAGCTAACATGCATACAACCAAAAACGCACTAGTCCCATTCACATCTTGTATTTTAAAAGTGAAGGAAAAAAAATATTTGATGCTGCCTAGCTACCACCACTGACTTCTCTGACCAGGATCGCAACAGAGGGTTCTGGACAGAGATGCAGAAGGATGTAGAGCATAATTCTAACTCACAAAAAAAGGACCAGATTTACTGGCCTAAAGGAGACTGGAGAAACCCCGAGAGTATGGCCCTCAGACAACCTTTTAGCTCAGTGATGAGGCTACCTCCAAGGTTCACTGTTCAGCCTGGGAGTGGACAGCCCCATAAAACCAAATGAGACTAACGAGGTACAGGAGTCCAGTGACAAGGGCCAGAAGGCAG